AATATTATTTTACATGAACATGCTTTTGAACTTTGCCAAGTGATCGTGCTGGTCCTGCGCCGCGTCACACGCTGCGCGGCTACCCTAATTGATATGATATGTATAGTTTTTGATGGATTGGACTCTATCCTGATTTTTTGTTTTTCTTTATCATGCTGTATAAAGGAAAAGATTAGTCCATATTTTATTTTCTTAAAAAATTGTTTCATAATATCCTACGCCATTGTGATTTGCAAGATTTCCTTAAATCAAGCGGTTATTGAAGTGACGCCCACACTGATTAAGATCAACCGATCAAATGTAATTTAAACTAGCATTCTAGCGCGTTCTTACATTCATGCATTGAAGTTAATGATCTTGTCATACGCAATGTTTAAATTTGATATTTTCGGTGTTCTTTGAGAATACTTTATAATTTTGAAAATAATTTTTTGATTTGTTAAAAATATTATTAAATAAACCAGCAGAAAGTTTTCTCGTCTAATGCGAATATGTGACAAATAACCAGACTGGCTCATTCTACGATAAGCCTACATGTCTCTCAAATAACTTATGAGTTTGATATGAATAATTATAGCCGTTTTTCTTACTATTCATTATTTTTTTTTTATAACGGACAATTATTAAATTTAATAACTTGATTTGATCAGGTTAGCCAACATTATCTCTAAATCAGGCTAAACTGCCAGAAAGAGTTAATTCATGTTCAAGCATGTTTGTCATACAGTCAGATATTTTCGTTATTTTCATTTAATCCAGTAGCTTTGAAGGCGTTCAAAAAATATTATTCTCTTTCTCACCGTAGAATAATCAATCAGATTATCTTTATAGAAGGTCATTCGAAGTATTTTGGATGCTTAATACATATTATTGATAATTTAGTAGACCTTTTATGTAAGCGAGCAACCATCTGAACTTTAATAATCCAAAGATCTCGCTTTAACAGATTTCATATGTTAGAGCCACCATTATAGCATACTATAATTACACGTTATCGCCGTTTTTTATTGTTTTCAGAAGGAGCTTTAATTTTTCCGATTTAAATTTATTGATGAACTTTTATTTTCAGATTTCTATAAATGACTTAATCATCAATGAATTAAAGAGATTGATAAGAATTATATACATTTAAACATATTTATATATATACCATCTCTAACTTCATTCATTTCGTTACGTGATAATTTCTTTTCTTTAAAAATCCTAAAGTTTTAAATTTCCCCTTAAGTTATAAAATAATTGCGATGCCATTTTATGATTCATCAGATGATGATGAACCATCATATAAGAATAAGTTATTAATTTCAGCTAGAGATAGAAATGAATTTGGGCGAGAATATTTCTGTGGAAATCGCGATGAATACGTATCAAGCGCATCGAAAGTTGCGTTTGAAAAATATGGAGTTTGCACAGAAAATGAGATTTCATTTGGACTAAAACACGAATTTATGCAAAAAGACACCTATAAAGATTTTAGTAGAAAAAGTAGCATTACTTCTGAATCTCAATCAGATGCAAAATTTACATATCAACAACCATTTAACTTTACTTCGTATGAACCTAAGAGTTTATCTGGGATAGTTGAATCAGGTTGCGTATTGTATAAAGGGCATGATGATGTCTATGCAAGTCCTAAATTTGAAGCAACGACGAAAAGTAAGCTCGAATGCGAAGATACGGACGGTACCACTGCCAAATTTGAATGCGGTGGTTCATTCGAGCTTGGAATTTATGAACAAAAATTCAAGGCAAATGCTGAATCATCAATTCAACAGGATGACGTCACTCTATTTAAAACTGAAGCTTCATTAGAGACAAAAATGGGAATGAATGGTGACTATGTTGATGCAAAATTCGGTAATACGTTATTTAGAGCTTGTGATGAAAATGAAGGTTTGGATCTTAAACTCTTAAATGCATCAGCAGAAGCTAAATTTGGAATAGATGAAAATGGTATCGAAGATATGATTAAATTAGGTGTAAACTTGGTAGAAGCTGAAGCTGTGGGTGTTAAATCAAAAATTGGATTCAATCTTGATACAGGCATTTCAGTCAATAAAAATGGTATAGAAGGTAAACTTGAAGGTTTCGGAGTAAAGCTGGGAAAAGAAATTGGTGTAAGTACACCTTTCGCAGAAGTGTCTATTGATCTAGAAAAATGGTTTGGTTCTTAAACTATGCTGCGTATTTCATTTATTTATTGCTATCTACTACTATAATTAGTTATAGCAATTCTTACGTATATAGTTTAAAATTCTATATAAAAACAGCTTAGTAAAAATATATACTGTATTGATCAATAAATTTAAGCTTATACATCTTTCTTTTCATAAAAAATTATTATTTTATTATATTATTCTTGTATTCTATTCTATAAGTAACTGTGCGATATTGTCACGCTAGATCCGAAACGGATGATAATAAGCTTAATTTTAAAAATTCCGATGCACAATAGTTATCATTATACAGTATAGTACTACATTGATAGACATATACTATGATGTAGTCTTTCAATAATAGTAATAGAAGAGCATCGGTACTTAAGATAAACTAAAAGTTCTTAGCTGATAATTCCATTTCGCCCTTTCTTTCCCTTTTTTTTTTTTTTTTTACATTTGATGTAAATATTAGGCAGCTAAATATAAATCAAGTGGTCTTTGCACTTTAGCCTAGAGCTACAATGTTCCTTATACATTAACGGGACTGTCATTGTTCATATACTATTATGCATTACTCTAAGCCGCCTTTAAAATTATTTATAACTAGTGCAAGTAAACTTCTACGGATGATACCTGACTGCTATATAACTATCAAGTGGTCTTTGCGCTATTATAGCTTATAAGCTACATCATTTTTCATTTTTTCATGCTTGATTTTCTCGACTTTAAGATTACGTTTTTTCAACGCATTAGTTCGATCTGTCTCATTTGGGATGAGATTAGTAAAGCCACGTATGCATAAAAATATTTTTCCAGTGAAAATTTCTAACCCATCGATTTCTGTTACGTTTTAAAACAAGCATTGCAAGTAGAGATGGGCACGTACGTGATGCGCGGGATTTTTAATATGATTCGAAATAAAATTATCTGGCCGGTATTACCACATCATCTGGCTGCATTAATATAATATGTGCCCTGCATTAACATATTTACTGTAATACTCGAAATAGCGGGCATGGGCATGGTTGTTGGTGGTAACTTATCGTGGTAAATCACGGTTAGTTACCGGTAAGTTACCATAATAAGTTACCAATACCAAATGCTCATTTGAAGATTACTTTCATTGGTAACTTACTGTAACGTACCGGCTACTTACCAATAAATTACCATTAGTGCAATAGTGCTTCGCGCCATTATCTTATTCAGAATTTTTAACATATTAATTGTATTCAATAGAACTTGGATACATAGTATGTATTGATTAGTTTGTATTATGATTTATTGTAAATAATTCTGTGAAAAACTTACTTTCTAATATCGTGAGTTACCATAAAAAACGTTGATATAGAACTTGTTATTCTGGTAACTATAGTACGTACGTATGTGGGTTTGCTTGTGTTTCTATTATGATTTACATACTGTACGTATAGTAGTTTAGTTAGTGTTGAAATTATCATGACATCTATCATAAATTACTATAAAACTGTTACCAAACGTCCTGCTTTTCCAGTAGTCACAGTATATAGTTAAGTTGGTTTGCATTGGAATTATCGAAATTTCTACCACGACTTAAGTAAAAAATTTTGTGAAAAATATACTAACGTTTAAACATATAGCAGTTAAGGTCGGACTAGTTAACTCCCTTCAATCTTTCTTCGTCTGGTCTGCATGTCGTAGATCGTTTCCAACAAAGTTTAAGATTAGACGTTAAACATCTTATTTATTGGATGCGACCTTACTCGTGATCCGCCACATTTCCTTTTAAGTTAAAACGGAAAGGATTTTCGTCAAAAAATTTTATATTATCTTGATCTTGATCTTTTTATTATATATATCATGAGCATGCAACGTTGCGTTGCGCAGGTCTGATCTGGTCTGATCTGATCTAGAGCAGGCCCCCAAAAAATTTTTATCGTATTCGGGTTGTATTTATAAGATTTAATAAGTTAAATCGATTTTGATTCCATAATTCGATGTATGCATTGGCGCTTAAAAGCAATCGTTAGCATTTGGTGTTACGCTAAATTACTTATTAGGGTAAATTCGGTTGTATTGATATTTAATTTAGGTAATTGATATTCCTCGAATTTGCTTTCTTTAGTAATTTTGAGTTTCACAAATTTCAACAAGTTGTATAAAACACTCTATCTCTATATAGCGCTATATAGCGCTATATAATGCGCTGTGCAGCTATATCCAGTGTACTGTGCATCAATATGTGCTGCGCTAGCTCAATTGCGCTCAAAAATTTTCACTTATCGAACAGCAGTCATATTTATATAAAAATGCCAAATAAAGAGTAAAAAGGAAATCCATTAAACTGCACTAAAAAAAAAAACTTACATACATCGATTACTAAAATAAAAAATAATCACAACTTTTTTAAAAATAAAAAAAAATCTATTTTTATTATTGAATCAAAAACAAATTTTTTTCTTTATAAAAATAATTGTGATGTGCTATGTATCAGATCATTCCCGATAATAACTATGTTTCTATATTTAGATGAGAGGTTTACTAATATGAACCACAGAAACATAATCTTGGCAGAAATCATTTTACAGATATGATGATCTTTTACCAGTAATGGGTTTCCCGGATGTATGTACCATATATGCTATATCAGTTGTTTAATGAGTATAGTCAGCATAATCAGTATAATTGGTATAGTTATTATGATCAGTATATACATTTTAATCAGTATATGCAGTATAATCAATATAAGTGATAAATCGCAGATAAGTTGTATAATGTATACTAAGTAAAAAGAAAGTATATAATAAAGGCTTCTTGCCCTTTAGGAAAGACATCCTTTTGCGATCCACATAAAATTTGTTTCCTAATATTTCTACACCTTATATACCTGATAAATAAAATACTTAACTCTGATCTACTGCTTAAGTAATATAAGTAGTAGGTTTATTGTTTTCTCGTGCATGTATTAATTGTCAATTGTACAAAACTCTGTCCAGTTGTTTCTCAATGTACTGAGATCTTCTGTGGTTGATATTTTTTAACTGTTGTGATGTACTGTAGACTGTTGTGGTTATTGTTGTCTAGCTTTCTTGACGTATTGTGGATAGTTGTGGTTTTTGTGCTATTCTAGTTTGAGGTTAAGTAGAAGATCTCAACTGTGGTTTTTGATTAAAAGTATAGTAGAAAAATAGTTAAGTGTTGGTGTACTAGCAAGGTTTGAATATAAGTAGAAGCTATACCTACAACCCTAAAGTTACCACTCACCAAATCTAAATGCCTCTTATTGACTAAGCTGATTGTAGGTTACATGATACTTTGATTTGTTTAGTGACAGATTTTCCATTTTACCAATCATCACTAATGCTAATATAAATATTATAATAAAAATAAGTAGCTACGCAATGTATTTGTGTTAACTAGAAACAGAAAATGTTACATATAGATTTAAAAGCAAGCTTGAAATTGATCTGTATGCTTGATATAGTTATAATAAGTTATGCAGTCCTTTTAAACTTGCATATTTTAATATGAATATAATTAATTTTATATCCTGTTCACTATATCAAGATTGCAGACTTACCTAGATTAATGTAAAGAAATAAAATAGTAAATATACATAAACTTGGATATTTTAGTTTAAAAAAAAATTTTTTATGAAACTAGGTGCTTGAGCTATTTAAAATGAATTAAAGATAAGTGTACTATATCTGATATTATATTATACAGTACAAAGACCTCATGATTTGATTAGACCTTATGTCTGCCACAGACAATACAAGAACCTCATGTTTGGTGATTGAGCACCCTATAAAAAGAAAGCCAAATTCTAATTAGAGTTTTTATTATAAAAATGCTTATTTTTTAAATAATAATATAAACAAAATCTAAATAGAATTTTGATTTTTTTTTTAAACTCATAACTATATTTCATAACTATACATTGTGATTAGACTTGGAGGCTACAACAGTGCAAAGACTTTACACTGAGATTAGGCTTTATAGCTGCAAATAATGCAAAACCCTTATGCTTGGCAATTAAGCTCTGAAATATAATAACAGCACAAAGATCTTATATTGTGATTAGGCTTCATAGCTGCAATAGCAACACAAGAAACTCATACTGTGATTAGGCTCTATAACTGTCACAGCTAGTACAATAACCTTATGCTTAGCAATTAAGCTCCAAAACTATGATAGCAGTACAAGAAACTCATGTTGTGAATAATGCAAGACCCTTACACTTAGCAATTAAGCTCTGAACTATAATAGTAGCACAAAGATCTTATATTGTAATTAGGCTTTATGGCTGCAATAGCAACACAAGAAACTCATGCTGTGATTAGGCTCTATAACTATCACAGCTAGTGCAATAACCTTATGCTTGGCAATTAAGCTCTAAAACTATAATAGCAGTACAAGGAGCTCATTTTGTGATTATGCTTCATAAATGCAATAGCAATGCAAGGACATTATGTTACTAAGTTCTACAACTGCAAAGAACCTGTTTGGTGATTAAGCTCTAAAACTACAATAGCAGTACAAGAATTTTATATTGTAGTTAGGTTTTATAGCTGCAAGGATCTTATATTGTGGTTAGGCACTATAGCTATGCAAGCAGTGCAAGAACCTCATGTTTTGATTAAGCATCTTAACTACAATAGTAGTGCAAAGACTTTGTGTTGTGATTAGGCTTCTTGGCTACAAGAACCTCATATAGTAATTAAATTCTTTGGCTACCACAGCAGTGCAAGAAACTCATGTTTGGAAATTAAGCTCTGCAACTATAATAGCAATGCAAGGATCTCATGTTGTAATTAGGTAATAGAATGCAAGAACCTTATATTATTATTAGGCTCTATCCCTTAATTAGTAAAGATTTGCAGGCAAATTTAGCTACATAATTACTATAAATATGTCTCTGACTACTTTTTTAATTATTTAAAATATTTAAATAAAATTTAATATGATAATATTTGAAAATAAAGATTATATTTTTGTA